TCACAGTCACCACCAATTACTATCCTTTGGGAAGCATCCATGGCACTGTGAGTATACCCATGGAAAAGAGATCTGAACCAGTTGTCCATATTCTTCTATTAAGTCCATTTAAGAAAAGTCTTAAGCAAATTTTCAAGATAATGTATAAAAGCTTAATCCACTATTGCACATTTCAAACCTGTTTTGGGGGGAAATACAGGTCTTGGAATCAGACTGTTGTTCTTGTTAAACTTAACAGAAGCTGGAATGGCAAAAGAGAAAGGTTTGAGTTCACAGCATTCAAGATTGTTAGCACTTAGGTTAATAGTCTACAAAGTGTAATTCTCCCCAGTTTCCTTTTATTTGATCCAATGGACTTGTTCACAGTTTCAAATCTTTTTAGAATTCCAGTGTTCCCTGCTTTGGTGAATGTTACCTAACATCCATCAGATTCTGAAAACCTGAATCCAAGGGGGGATCTTAGCATCTTCTTCCTCGGCACATCCAATCCTCCCCCAAATCTAGTGATTTTACTTCTTAAGTATCTCTCAGACCCAGCCACTTCTCTTTATCTTCATCACCAATTTGGGGTAAGCTTTTTGCCTGACTCATGGCAAGGGCCTCCTAACTCGTCTCCCGGACTCAACTTTTCTCTTCCTCCAGTCCCTGCTCCACTCTTGTAGTGAGTTATCTTTTAAAAGTAAAAATAATTTCATAATTTCACCCAACCATCCTCCTTGCTTAATCCTCTTCACTGGCTTCATGTTTCTCTTAGAATAGAGACGTAGGTCCTCATACGGTGATTGCACTGTACATAGTCTGATCCCTGCCTGGCCCTCTACCCTTACATCTTATCGCTCTCCTTTCACTTTCTGCACCCCAGCACTATCCTTTTAGATCCTGAAATGTACCGTGCTCCTTCCAGTGACGTCTTTGCACATGCTGCTCTTCCCTAGCTTCTAAAATTATTTAACTTCATGCTTCCTCAATTAAGGCCTCCTTGGTCTTTTAGACTCCAGCAGGTTCCCCCATTACTTCTTTCATGCCACCATATAACTTTCTTTCGTAACACTTATTCGAGTTTGTAATGACATATTTCTGAGATAATATCCGTTGCATTGATCTCTCTCATGGTATCCTGAAGGATGAGACTAGATCTTTTTTTTGGTTTGTTTTGTTTATTTGTATTTTTTGCTTACCAGAGCAAGACACGGTGCCTATCATATACCAGGTATTCAATAATAATTGTTGAAATAATGGTCCCAATTTCTGTTCTTCTCATCTGTAGTCCACAAATTCATAACAATGACAGCCAAAAAGAAAAAGGGACTGACTTGCTCAACTACCACCCTGCCACAATTAGCCAAGTAGAATTAGAATGCCAATACTGTAATATCTTTTATGGCAGAAAAGATACGGTAAGAATACAATCATGCATTGCTTAACATTCACTATATGTTCTGTGATATAGGACATAACATGATTTGGACGTTGTGCAAACACCATATTACAGGCAGTCCCTGGGTTTCAAACATCTGACTCATGGACAATTTGTACTTAAGAACAGACTGCCATAAAGCCGATTAAAAATTTGAGTTAAATACATACAATGGTTTGTAATAATGAACACACACATTACTTTGTGATGCTCATGAAAACATTACATATTTTGAAATGTTTCTTAAGTGTTTTGTATGCCTAGCAAGGTGAAATATATACTATATAATAAGACATTTTATTAACCGACTCTAAATAAGGACTGTAGGTACCTGTTCCAACTTACCTGCAAAATCGACCTAAAGACAGACTTGGGGACAGATCTCATTTGTAACCCGAGGGCTGCCTGTATACGACAGACACGAGATACACGTATTGCGTGTGGGAAGCTGTTGCGTTCGTTACATCCGGTTACATCCGGTACATCCCGTTCTCTGATCGGGATTTCTAACTCTATTGTAACCTTATGAGACCATGGACGTATATTCGGTCAGACATTGCCCGAATGGACGTTATGCGGTGCATGACTGTGTATAGTGGAACCAAGGTTAACTGCTCTCATAAACTGTGAAAGTAGGACCCCACCATTATTTCTACTAGCAAAGGACTTTTTTTTCACCTACCCATGGTAAAGAAAAATGTAACAGTTACTCTCCCAACTGTCTTATGCATAAAATATTTTAAAAGATGTTTAAGCCATAGCTTATTTCAGAAACACATCTAACGTTCCCAATATACAAACTCGTATGACACAAGTTGCCAAAATGAGAATAGTCATAATTCATGAGAATAGTCATAATTACAAAAGTTAAAGTCACATCAAGATCACATAGCAGTATAGCTAGTTTCTTGTTACCTCTGTTAAACTTTTTATTTTATTTCTATCAGCTGTGAGCTTAATTGTTAGCATCTTTAAAATACTGAGCTAAATATTGAAATGATAAACATAAGCTGCCACATTGCACGATTTTTTAAAATAATATTTTATTGTGTTTTAGGTGAAAGCTTACACAGCAAATTAGGTTCCCATTTAACAATTTTTATACAAATTGTTCCATGACATTGGTTACAATTTTCACAATGTGTCAGCATTCTCATTATTTACATTCTGTTTGTTCTGTTTCCATTGATCTAACTTCCCTTCCCTTCCTTGACTTCTCGTCTTTGCTTTTGGGTAAGTGTTGACCATTTGGTCTCATATAGTTGATTGTTTAAGGGGCACATTACTCATGGGTGATACTGTATATTTTATAAGCCAATCTATTATTTAGCTGAAAGGTGACCTACAGAAATAGCTTCAGTTCCAAGTTCAAAGGTTATCTTAGGGCAATAGTCTCAGGCGTTCCTCTAGTCTCTGTTAATCGAGTAGGTCTGGTTTTTTATTTTTTTTTAGAATTTGAGTTTTGTTCTACATTTTTCTCTCATTCTATCTGGGACCTTCTATTGTGTCCCTGGTTAGAATGGTTGGTAGTGGTAGCCAGGCACCATCTAGTTCTTCTGGTCTCAGGTTAGAAGGTGCTGTGGTTCGTGTGGGCTATGAGTCCTGTGGACTAGTTTCTTCTTTGAGCCTTTGGTTTCCTTCATTCTGTTTTGCTCCATACGAGTAGAGACCAATAGCTGTATCTTAGATGGCTGCTTGCAAACTTTTAAGACCCAGACACTACTCACTAAACTAGGTGTAGAGCATTATCTTTGTAAACTATGTTATGCCAATTGTCTAAGTTGTCCCCCGAGACTATGGTCCTAAGCCTTTTAACCCAGTACACCAATCCCACAAGTTGTTTTGATATGTCTAGGAAGCCTCCGTAACTGTGCCCCGTGTGCTTTGTTATATATATGATACAGATGTAGCACGCACAAACGTTTATATACATATACCTACAGATACACCTATACATGCACATGCCTTTACTCACGTCTTCCTATACACATGTATGCGTACATATCTACCTACATAACCACACACGTTTCTGTTGTTGCAAAATTGTATATGTTACAGCATTTACTGAAATTGTGCCTTTTTCTTATGTACTTCTTAGTATCTTTATTCACCTTGGTCAGGTTGTGCTGACTTCACTCGTATTTGGTATTGCCTTTCCCATCACCAAAAATAGTTTAAGTGTCCACTATCTAGAAAGTGTTTTCCCCTCCTTCTCCCTCCCATCCCTGGTAACCATCAAGAACATTGCTTTCTTTGTGTATATCTATTCTTGAATTTTTATAATAATGGGACCATACAACATTTGTCCTTTTGTGATTGACTTATTTCACTCAGCGTAATTCCTCCAGATTCATTCATGTTATGTTTTGCAGACTTCTCATTATTTATAATTGCATAGCATTCCATTGTATGTACCGCAGTTTATCCATTCATCCACTGATGGGCACTTAGGTTGTTTCCATCTTTCTGCTATTGTGAATAATGCTACAATGAACATAGGTGTGCATATGTCTATTCATGTCACTGCTCTTATATCTCTTGGAGATATACCTGGGAGTGAGATTGCTAGATCATAAGGTATTTCTACTTCTGACTTTTTTGAGGAAGCGTCATACCATTTTCCATAGTTGGTACCATTTTACAATCCCATGAGCAATGTATAGGAGTTCTAATCTCCCTACAACCTCGCCAGCATTTGTTGTTTTCTGTTTTGTTTTGTTTTTTTGATCAGTGCCATTTTTGCAGGGATGAGACGGTGTCTCATTGTAGTTTTGATCTGCATCTCTCTAACAGCTAATGATCGTGAGCATCTTTTCATGTATTTATTGGCCACCTGAATGTCCTCCTTGGTGAAGTGCCTGTTCATCTCCTTAGCCCATTTTTCGATTGGATTGTTTGTCTTTTTTTGTTGAGTTGTTGAAGTTTTCTATATATTTTAGAGTCTATGATTTTTTAATAAAGTCACATTAGCATCTCTAGGACTATCTGTCCTCTAGCATCTGTCTCAGGCAATATATTCCAGGCTATCTGTGATACTGAGAGGGTAGAGGGTTAAAAGCATATATTTAGCAACAGGATGTGTCTGTGGTTAGGAACGTTAAGTTAGTGGACAATAAAAAGTTAAATATACCTTTTTTAAAGGAAAAGGAAGTTTTATATGGGTTATTAAAGTAGCTTTGTGTTTATATTACTTCTCATATATATGGATGTTAGAATTTAGTTCTGTTTTTTAAATTTTCACTAAAATTTTTTAAAAATCTATTTCATTCTTTGTGAGTTATGCAGATTAATAGTCCAGGAAGAAATAAATAAAACGTGCCTATAAGGTTGCTATGAGTCAGAATCAACTCGACAGCAATAGATATTTACCTTAAAGCAAAGTGTCGTCTTTTCTTTGCATATTACCATGGCCCAGAATGAGCATTTAATCAATAACTGGTCATCTGCGACACTTGTTACAAATAAACCAGGTATTTGTAGTCTTATTGCAAGTCAGCATTTCTTACTAACAACAATGTCAATTGACTTGGGCTCCTACAAAGAAGGCCCTGAAAAAACGGTTCTTCTCTTCTTATGATTTCAGTTAAGAATGCAAATTGCACCTCAGACTTTGAAGAATACTTTGCCAAAAGAAAACTGGAGGAACGCGATGGCCATGCAGTTAGCATCGAGGAGTACCTTCAGCGCAGCGACACAGCCATTATTTACCCAGAAGCCCCCGAGGAACTGTCTCGCCTTGGAACTCCAGAGGCCAATGGGCAAGAAGAAAATGGTGAGACTGTAATTCATTTTTAGCCACTACACTGACCTCTGCAGCTGTTACAATTACAAATGCACTACATGCCTGGGTGTTTACCTTAAAATTTGAAGAACAGCTGCAGAGGCATGGAATTTCATGAGCAAAGATTAGAACTGTAATTTTAGGGTATTGTGAATTTTTTTGTCAGCAAATTTGTGTCATTTGTACATCCAATAAAGAACAAGTACAATTAGAGCCTATTTCTAAGAGATAAAAATATCTAAATGTATTCCTATCTTTCTGAAATATTTCACTTTTGAGGAAGAAAAAAAGTTTAGAAATACTGACCCTAACCTTTTGTTCTTCTTCACTAGCACCTGAAAGTCTCCCCCACACTATGACTTCCTGAGTAATATGTGCCTAAAGGTTTAATGCAAACTGTCAGTCATCTAAAGAGAATCTCCTCATTTATCAGCTGTTTGAATTTCCCCCAAAAAGCTCGAGTAATTAATTAATCTTCCAGCAGAGTGTGAACTGATTCCTACATGTCCGTCCTGGGTGTGCACGGGGACGGGTGTGAGCGGAGGCCGAGTGCAATGATGGCACTCTCGTAGAGCAGACTGCAGTGATTCCTGTCATATCATCCCGGGCAGTCAGCCCATTAGCTGCCATTGATTTACTGACCTTTTGGCCTGCTTCTCTCTCTCTCGTCTCTCGGTTATAGACCTGCCACCTGGAACTCCAGATGCTTTTGCCCAACTGCTGACCTGCCCCTACTGCGACCGGGGCTACAAGCGCTTGACATCACTGAAGGAGCACATCAAGTACCGCCACGAGAAGAATGAAGAGAACTTTTCTTGCCCTCTTTGTAGCTACACGTTTGCCTATCGCACCCAGCTCGAACGGCATATGTTGACGCACAAGCCAGGGACAGATCAGGTGGGGGGCTGGTTTTAAGTGATTTCTTTCTATAATAACCCCTTAGAGAAACGATATTGCTTTGATTGGCAATCATTATTAATTTTTCATGGCATTTTGAAGATGCAGATCTTTTAATGGTAATAGCTTTAATTGAGGTCTAAATGATTTTTTGATGGTCTCTTCTAATATGATTTAATAGTCTTACGTTCACGATCGAATGAGTGTGTTAATTTCTAATTTAGAAATTTTATTTGCACTTTAACTTTAGTTTCATTTTTATGTTCCACAAAAAGTGAATGAAATTGTGGCGTTTTAATTATACATTATTAAACATCTCAGCAATTTTAATTCCATTTTTTACCTAGTTTTAGACATTTTTTTCATATAGCATCCAAGTCATAGTAAAAGAAGGGTATGTTTCTTTCATTTCTCATATAACACCTTCAATTACTTACAGTTATTTTTACAAGCTGCTGCTAAAATCTAATTGTTTTAAAGCAATTTGAAAAGGCATATGTATGTGTATATATGTACATATAGATCATAAACTGGATTAATACTAAAATGTTGGATGTACATTAAAAATGATTCCTTCTTTATATGCATATTTGAAGCTAAATGCTAAAATTGCTCTACTTCCTTTGGTTCACTCATCTTAAAAATAAAAACCGTATCTTGGATAGGTAAACAGTTTCTGAAATCCTTAAAAAAACTGAATGAGATTGATTCATAGTGCCCCTTAAGTGTTTTAGCAAAACTGCTGTTTCTATCTTCCTGGGAGAATTGACTCTGCAAACGGACATTATGATGTGTTGGGATGGTAACAGAAATGGTGTGCCTTAAGTCAAAGTAACTGGCACTGTAGACCTGACATCACCTTATATAAGCCTTGACACCATACCTGTTTTTAAAATTATTGAACAGGATTTTCTATATAAAATTCTTTTTTCTTTTCCTTATGGGTTTTATTTTCTTGGAATAAGGAAAATAAGTATAAGCAAACAAACAATGGTGATAGTACTAAATTATGGAATTGTACTATTTTAAGAGAACACCTCATGTAAATCATTCCATTTGATTGGGCTTGTCACCTGAATGTTTGTTTCAAAGTTCAGTTGCTAAAACGAAATGCTTGCATAGTTACACTTATGTAACAGTTTATCTCCCCTTGCTCATATGCACAAAAACTCTAGGAAAAAAAAAAAAGGTGCCTAGAAATTTATCTAGCAAAACTGCTTTAAATTTCACATGCAGAAGTGTGATTGTGTTGGCGTATTATGAATGGTAGCTTTGGTGTTGAAAAGTCCCCTCATTTGCTCATGGCATTTACAATTAGTAAATTAAAATGATTGTATCATATTAACAGTGGCACAACTAAAGTTTATAGTAGTCCTCTGAGGGCTGTGGGGGGAGACAAAGCAGCTGTTGCTGTTTGTTTATGCAACTCAGCAACATATGAGCGCTGGTCCCTCAATGGAGCTCGGCGGGCTGGGCTCCGCTTGATCTTTGAAGGTTGCTGCTGTTTGAACAAACCTCCCTGTGTCCCATGTAACACCATCTGTCTCACTAGGAATGTGGGAAGATTCAGCACACCCTAGCAGTTGTCATACCGTTTCTGTGCTGTCTTTTTGCAAAAGGCTTTTGTGTCACTGCTGCTTGAAAAAGGCTGACCTCCTACCTTCAGCATCCAGAGTGGATGACTGTTTTTTTTTTTTCTTTTCCAGAATTTTAAGTCTCACTGGTTTTTCCCCTCCTTGTTCAAAACGATCAGCTGTATTTGATTATATCTTTGCTGCTTTTGACTTGTCTTTTCAGCCAACTTTTTTTCCTCTTTTTTGTCCCCACTCCCTAGCACACTACTAAAAAGGAAAACGAAAAGTCGTTGAAGTCTTTCCTACTGGCCTGTGATAAAACTGCTCAAGCAGCTATCACCCAAGATGTTATCCCTTACATTTGATAATGAATCAAATCTGATATGTAACACCTCAGGAAAAGCAGGCTTTACGTTTGGTACTAGCACAGTGAATGGGATGTTTAAACATGCTTATTATGTAATAAAATATTTATAGTCGAGTTTTTTTGTTTGTTTTGGGTTTGTGGAGGTTTTTTTTTTTTTTAATTCTTTAAATTTAGAATTGCCTCTGTATAAATTATACTTTTAACCTATACAAACATTTCATAAAATTAGTTATACTGTGTGGGCTTTTTGGAGACTATTTAGAATTTTCATGAAAATATTTATTTTCTCCTTGACAAAATAGGTGCATAATATCAGGGGAATCTTCAGATTTTAAATGTTGCAGTAAACACAAAGGACCACAAACATCTTTACAATTACACTTTCTCGTCTCCAAAGGCTCAAAGAAACATTTTGGAAAAGAGACTCCAGAAATAATTCTAAAGCAAGTGTTGGCTGCACATGTGAAAGCACTTTTTTTTTTTTTTTTAATTTGTTCCAATTTTATTGCCAACATTATCACTTTTATTACAACTCTGAAAGACGGGGCAGATAAATAAACACGCATTCAGACCTTTTGGCCTGACTGAGAAATAGGGGCTGTTTCAAATATTTGTAACAAATTTTCTTTGTTCCTCCTGCACAAAACTGATGTTAGTATTTTTCCTTTTATAGCACCAAATGCTGACCCAAGGAGCAGGTAATCGCAAGTTCAAATGCACGGAGTGCGGCAAGGCCTTCAAATATAAACACCATCTGAAAGAACACCTGCGAATTCACAGTGGTGAGTAGCAGAGGTGCCGGTGTTTGCATTTGCATCTTGTTTAATTACAGCAGTTTTTAAAGATTGTTTAAAATTTACACAGTTCTGTTTGTAGCTTTTTGGAGCTTCTAATTTATCTCATAAACTATGTGTACCTGATGTGTCCTCATGAGATTTATGGTACCACCAATAGCATTATCTTACAAAAAGAAGGAATGCTTCCACTTCTTAAAAACTACAAATGCTTTGATTTATTCTCAAACCTAGAGAGGCTCTTTGTTTCTCCCTTTAAAAACTCTCCTACAGATTAACCATTTTTGATCTAAAGAAACTCAACTGGCAAATTCTGAAGGAAAGTCATTTTTGGTACCTAACCATGAAAGAAGAAGTTGAAGAATTTTGGATAGGAGCGTGTGTATGATAAACATCCCTTGATTTCTGAAAGCTACATATTACAGAAGAAATATTCTACCACTGAGATTTCTTCTTTATAACTAGTTTGATAGCTCTGCCAAGCATTTTATTACCAAATTGGATGCTATTCAAAGGACTAGTTGGATTGGTAGAATCAATGGAATCTACACAGAGTTGATTAAAGACATGGCTCCACTTCCCTTTAAATACTGTGACATCTTTATTGTGCTATTGACCACACATTAATCTGACACTCTGTTTAAATGGGAGGCTGCCGATGGCAAGACAAGATTTGGGATCTTGGCTGAAAAAGGCATAGATAGTCCTCACCTCCCACTGCTAACATCTTGAATTATGTCCTCACTGGGTAGATAAAGCCCAGAAACGGTTATGGTCAAATAATTCTAATCTAAGCACCTTGATTGTAGAGGTGCTCCATTGTGTTCCCTTCATTTTAGTTTCACAGATTCTTGTTGTGATAACAAATGTAATTGTTACCTAAACAAAGAAATGTAATGTTAATTCTAATTATCATTTTAGGTGAAAAACCATACGAGTGCCCAAATTGCAAGAAACGTTTCTCCCATTCTGGTTCCTACAGTTCGCACATCAGCAGCAAGAAATGTATTGGTTTAATCTCTGTAAATGGCCGAATGAGAAACAATATCAAGACGGGTTCTTCCCCTAATTCTGTTTCTTCTTCTCCTACTAATTCAGCCATTACCCAGTTAAGAAACAAATTGGAGAATGGAAAACCACTTAGTATGTCTGAACAAACAGGCTTACTTAAAATTAAAACAGAACCACTAGACTTCAATGACTATAAAGTTCTTATGGCCACACACGGGTTTAGTGGCACTAGTCCCTTTATGAATGGTGGACTTGGAGCAACCAGCCCTTTAGGAGTTCATCCATCTGCTCAAAGTCCAATGCAGCACTTAGGTGTAGGGATGGAAGCCCCTTTACTTGGATTTCCCACAATGAACAGTAATTTAAGCGAGGTACAAAAGGTTCTACAGATTGTGGACAATACGGTTTCCAGGCAAAAAATGGACTGCAAGGCTGAAGAAATTTCAAAGTTGAAAGGTTATCACATGAAGGATCCATGCTCTCAACCTGAGGAACAAGTAGTTACTTCTCCTAATATTCCACCTGTAGGTCTTCCAGTAGTGAGTCATAATGGTGCCACTAAAAGTATTATTGACTATACATTAGAAAAGGTCAATGAAGCCAAAGCTTGCCTCCAGAGCTTGACTACTGACTCAAGGAGACAGATAAGTAATATAAAGAAAGAGAAGCTACGTACTTTAATAGATTTGGTCACCGACGATAAAATGATTGAGAACCATAACATAGCCACTCCATTTTCATGCCAGTTCTGCAAAGAAAGTTTTCCTGGCCCCATTCCGTTGCATCAGCATGAACGTTACCTTTGTAAGATGAATGAAGAGATCAAGGCAGTCCTGCAACCTCATGAAAACATAGTCCCCAACAAAGCCGGAGTTTTTGTTGATAATAAAGCCCTCCTCTTGTCATCTGTACTTTCTGAGAAAGGAATGACAAGCCCCATCAACCCATACAAGGACCACATGTCTGTACTTAAAGCATATTATGCTATGAACATGGAGCCCAATTCTGATGAACTGCTGAAAATTTCCATTGCTGTGGGCCTTCCTCAGGAATTTGTGAAGGAATGGTTTGAGCAACGAAAAGTCTACCAGTATTCAAATTCCAGGTCACCATCACTGGAAAGGAACTCCAAGCTGTTAGCTCCCAACAATAACCCTCCCACAAAAGACTCTTTATTACCCAGGTCTCCCGTAAAACCTATGGACTCCATAACATCACCATCTATAGCAGAACTCCATAACAGTGTTACAAATTGTGATCCTCCTCTCAGGCTAACAAAACCTTCCCACTTTACCAATATTAAACCAGCTGAAAAATTGGACCACTCAAGGAGTAATACTCCTTCTCCCTTAAATCTTTCCTCCACATCTTCTAAAAACTCCCACAGTAGTTCTTACACTCCAAACAGCTTCTCTTCTGAGGAGCTTCAGGCTGAGCCTTTGGACTTGTCATTACCAAAACAAATGAAAGAACCCAAAAGTATTATAGCCGCAAAGAACAAAACAAAAGCTAGTAGCATCAGTTTAGACCATAACAGTATTTCTTCATCATCCGAAAATTCGGATGAGCCGCTAAACTTGACTTTCATCAAGAAGGAGTTTTCAAATTCAAATAATCTGGACAACAAAAGCACTAACCCAGTGTTTGGCATGAATCCATTTAGTGCCAAACCTTTATACACAGCCCTTCCACCACAAAGCGCATTTCCCCCTGCCACTTTCATGCCACCAGTCCAGACCAGTATCCCTGGGCTACGACCATACCCAGGACTGGATCAGATGAGCTTCCTACCACATATGGCCTATACCTACCCAACTGGAGCAGCTACTTTTGCTGAAATGCAGCAAAGGAGAAAGTACCAGCGGAAACAAGGATTTCAGGTAATGAGACATATCGTTTTGCTCTGAATAGAGGAGATGAAAATTACAGAGCTTATGGGCATGCAGAAAAAAAAACAGTAGTGAAAAAAATCAAGTGCTATTTTTTCAGCAGAAATGTAAGAGTTTATTTTAACTTGAACTTAAAGCCGAGTGAGCTAGAAAAATAAATGGAGGAAAGAATGAAATGTTGTTCTATGTAAGCACATTTGCTTTAAAAAAAGATAAAGAAATCAATATTTATTTTGAGATAACATTTAGATTGATTCATCAGCTTTTAGAATTGTATATTGATAACACTTGGTGGGACTTATGTAGACACTGAAAAACTAAAGTTTGTAACAGTCACACACCTCTACAGATGTTCACGATTTATACATATATAAATTTGATAGGACATATAAATATACATTAATGTAATATATTTTGTTTAAAAGAGTATATTTTTTTAAAAGTGTTTAAAAAGTATTTTGTGCATTCCACATGACTTCTTTTGTAATTTTCAAACTAATAAATAATGTATGGTTTTTCAAATACAAAATACAGGTATGTTTAACATTATACAGCATAATCCCTGTTTGCAAAATAGGAGCATAAGTAGCAGTACACCTCAGTAACAGATGTTCCAGTATTCCAATTTACAGTACATCCGCCCTCTTTGTAAATGTATTTAAGCCTATTTAATCTTCTCTAATATTAATTAGTGCAAACGTAGTCTAAGAAAGCTGAACTGTGGGCTAGCAAATGGAAATATATGTTATCACACAAGTTTGCACTCGTTTGGATCAAGACAAAATAAATATCAAGAAATTTAATAATTTACTGATCCACATTCATTATTGCTTAATGCTGAAGGCTGTTTTAACATAGATAGAACATTGATAAAAAGTGTTATTAATATTCCCTATTTCAAATTAGAAAATTAAATATAAAAATATAGCTCGAGGCCTTCAGTTGGTAGACATACATTTAAATAGATTGCATAATAATAACATTTTGTACCTAAATATAAAATTCAATTAAAATGAGGTTTCTACAGCTACAGATCATTTCTAAAGTTAAGCACACTGAAAAATATACAAATTTAGATCTTTGATTTTCACTCGTGGATATTTCCTGGTATAAAGAAAACAGAGGATTTTAGGAAAATGTATATTTTTCTCACCTTTAGAGTTGACTATTTTCTTGAAAAACAGCTTTACCATCTAGGGCAGACAAGGTTTATATTTTTGTTGAAGTGTGAGATCCCATATATTGTTCATGGAAAATATTAATTTTAAAAAACTAGATCTATTAGTAGCAGTCAACTTTTGAGGTTCTCCAAAAAAATGTCAGCCTAGGCAAGGTTGTTTGGTGTAAACACAAAGGGAAGAGACTGTGTTGAACTATGTGATTATATCACAGGGAGAATTGCTTGATGGAACACAAGACTACATGTCAGGCCTAGATGACATGACAGACTCCGATTCCTGTCTGTCTCGAAAGAAGATCAAGAAGACAGAGAGTGGCATGTATGCATGTGACTTATGTGACAAGACATTCCAGAAAAGCAGTTCCCTTCTGCGACATAAATACGAACACACAGGTATGAGTGACTTTGACTAGCTAGTTAGAGCTTCCCGGCCTGCTGTACATTTCATAATATTTAATGAGTTCACTTGTGCACCATAAGATATAGCATATGCTGATACCTTCAACAAGGAGGAAATAATGCTTTTGCCTAGCTCAGTAGGACTTTTTTGTTACCCGTTTATTGGATCATTTATGTGTTTATGAGTGTGCTTGTCTTCATATCTTTTGACTTAATCTGTAAACCAAATTGACAAATCATATCAAAGGAATATTTAAATGTCCTGGTCAGTGAAATGGCATGATGCAAGCCAGTTATTGGAAATATCATCAAATGCTTCAGCTGTGATGAACCTGTATGTGTAAAAATTTAATAAAAAATTCAGTCAATGATCTATTAGTTTCATCATCCAAACATCAAATGAGCTACTATTTGGGGGTGATTTTATTTGGTTTTCATAAATTGACCACATTTTGAATAAACTAAAAGGTTTAGTACTGTAAAAGAAAAGTCATAAGTAAAGCAATAGGCCAAATGAGCTATGGAGACTGCCAATATTTGGAAGACTGAAATCAAACTTTCTAAATTTAATTAGCTTATTTCCAATTCATCCATTACTAATTAGGAGCAATTATACAGACTTGACAAGACAGCAGACTAATTCTTCCCTAGGAGTAGAGAGACAGTGGGTTAATTTTAAAAAAAGAAAGATGAAGTACCATAATGTAAACCCAAAACCAAACCCATTGCTGTTGTGTCAATTCTGACTTATAGTGACCCTATAGGACAGAGTAGAACTGCCCCATAGGGTTTCCAAGGAGCAGCTGGTGGATTCAAACCGCCGACCTTTTGGTTTGCAACCAAGCTCTTAACCACTGTGCCACCAGGGCTCCCCGTAATGTAAAGCACGTATTATTTTCCACAATCCAGCACCTGAACCCAGTGCAAGCCTGTAGTAGAGCCACACCTGTGCTTCTGCCTTCCTCTCCTCCCACCCCAACAGCAAGGTAACTCAGCTTCATCCCTGTCTCTAACCCATCTCCAGCTCTTCTCTGCTAGAAATTTGGCACGCTGAACTGACTCTAGGTGAGAAACGAAGGAGTGCAGGATCTCGATCAAAATATTGGTGGGAGGGGTAGAAATCAGGAAATTTTCCATGGGTAAAATTAGGAAATTTTTCATTTCAAATCAGGAAGTCTAGTATCAAACACTTTCATCTGGAAGAAAAAAATAATCTAACATTAATGCTTTTGAGGGAAAAGTGATGAAGAGGCAGGAAGGAAAAAAAAGAAAGAAAGAAAAGGAAAGGAAGGAAGGAGGAGGGAAAGGAAGGCAATCTGAATATTTCCCGCCACATTCTGACTGTCTAAATACGTAGCACCCTTTTTAGTGATTGATCCCAAACTATCCTTGGGGAGCACAAGTGACAAGAATTAGCCTGAAGGGTGGAGAGGGTGAGTTCTGTAACATTAAGTGTTGAGGGTATTTGTGAGGAGCACAGGTTGATAAATAGCAGCGCTCATACTCCACCCAATCCTGTTTCCTTGTCCTTCAGCTGACTGACATTAATGGCTATTGTTTTAAAAGTTCAACTAATAGTGTAATAATATTTATATTGATACAACCCAATGAAATTGGGTTATATTGATACAGTCAATTTGAAAAGCAAATCCAAACAGGTTTTATGCTTTTGTTATATAATTCAATGCTTGAAGCCTCAAAATTTTCTACATTTGTCTTTTATTCACACTTTTTTTTTAGTACCAAGTCCTATTGAGCATTTACACAGTGAAGATACTTTCATATCTAAATTTACTTTAATATTTTAATCAACCCTAAACATATTTTGTATTTCATTATTCCACTACTAAAGGCATCTTGCCTATCTGATTGGTTTTATTGTATGACCATATGCAAACTTTATCATATACTACATGGTGAGTGTAAAACTTGTATTTTAGTGAGGGCTGTCAAACATATTGACATCCAGTCAGTCTATTTCTTTCTTATCAATTAGACAGTCCACAAGTTATATAGATATATAGATATTTAAGAGACCCAAAGGTTGACAGATCACAAATATGCGTAACCATTACAGTTAGAAAAATAAATTGCATTAAAAAAAAAAAAAGGCTCTGGTCCTTTAAGATGTGAGAAGACCTGCTGACTAGAAACAAATTGCCTAGCAACAGGATGCTAACCATACAATGGTTTCTCTAAACGTGTGATTAGTTAAACTCTCGTTGGCTTCCCAGCTTGTTAAGTTTGCAGTGTGTTAACTTTTTGCTCTCTTGACCAAACATCTCATGACATTACTACTGTCAAGGTATTAAACCAAACCCATTGCCGTCAAGTTGATTCTGACTCATAGCAACTCTACAGGACAGAGTAGAACTGCCCCATAGGGTCTCCAAGGAGCAGCTGGTGAATTCTAACTGCTGATCTTTTGATTAGCAGCTGAGTTCTTAACCACTGCGCCACCAGGGCTCTAGTGTATTAGGTTCCATCAAAGTAAAGTTAGTTCTTCATAAATTATCTATCACTGTGATATATGTGAAAATTTAGCCTATTTTCCTTCCCTAATTGGGCCCCTTAAACCTTTTGTTTATAATAAACACTAATAATATTTAAGACTATACTACTATGAAAATTATAAGTGACAACTGTCTCTGGGTTAACAGATTCTAAGACTGGGAAGTGAAGTTGAATTATCATTTGATTATGTGTTGATTACCAATGTGCCGTTGGTAAAGTGTGTTTGTTATGTCTGTGTAAAATTTAACGTATAGTTTAGAGTAAGAAGGCAATTATGAGAGACTTATTCTTGGGATCATGTGCTCTTCTACATTAACCAATTTATTTCTTACGCAGATACCAAAGTCATAATGCTTAATTTTTCATAGTAATGGCTTATTGCTTGCTTGCTTTTCCTGGGACCTAGAGTAGGACAAGAAACCCTGGTGGCACAGTGGTTAAAGTGCTCAGCTGCTAATCAAAAGGTCACTGGTTCAAACCCATTAGCCACTTCCTGGGAGAAAGGTGTGGCAGTCTGCTTCTATAGATTTACAGCCTTGGAAACCCTATACGGCAGTTCTGCTCTGTCCTATTGTTGTGCCATTCAGTCACTTCTGACTCAAAGCAACCCTATGTACAACAGAATGAAGCAGTGCCCAATCCTCTGCCATCCTCACAATCATTGCTATGTTTGAGCTCATTGTTGCAGCCACCGTGTCAGTCCATCTAGTTGCGGGATTTCCTCTTTTTTGCTGACCCTCTACTTCACCAAGCATGAGGGACTGGTCCCTCCTGACAACATGTCCAAAGTACTTAAGACAAAGTCTCGCCATTCTCACTTCTAAGGAGCATTCTGGCCATACTTCTTCCAAGACGGATTTGTTCGTTCTTCTGGCAGTCTATGGTATATTCAGTATTCTTTGCCAGCACCATAATTCAAGGGCATCAATTCTTCAGTCTCCCTTATTCACTGTCCAGCTTTTGCATGCATATAAGACAAGTGAAAGTACCATGGCTTGGGTCAGGCACACCTTAGTCCTCATAGTGACCTCTTGACTTTTTAACACTTACAAAGAGGTCTTTTGCAGCAGATTTGCCCGATACAATACGTCATTTGATTTCTTCACTGCTGCTTCCATGGGCGTTGATTGTAGATCCAAGTAAAATGAGATCTTTAACAACTTCAATCTTTTCCCCATTTATCATGATGTTGCTTACTGGTCCAGTTGAGAGGATTTTGGTTTTCTTTACGTCGAAGTGCAATCCATACTGAAGGCTGTAGTCTTTGATCTTCATCAGTAAGTACTTCAAGTCCTCTTCACTTTCAGCAAGGAAGATTGTGTCATCTGCATATTGTATGTTGTTTAATGAGTCTTCCTCCAATCCTGATGCCATGTTCTTCTTCATATAGTCCAGTTTCTCGGATTATTTGCTCAGCATACAGACTAAGTATGGTGAAAGGATATAACCCTGATGCACATCTTTCCTGACTTTAAACCACGTAGTATCCTCTTGTTCTGTTCCAATGACTGCTTCTTGGTCTATGTACAGGTTCAGCATGAGCACAATTAAATGTTCTGGAATTCCCATCCTTCACAATGTTATCCATAATTTGTTATGATCCACACAGTCGAATGCCTTTGCAGAGTCAATAAAACATGGTAAACATCTTTCTGGTATTCTCTGCTTTCAGCCAGTATCCATCTGATATCAACAATGCTATTACTTGTTCCACATCCTCTCCTGAATGTGGCTTGAATTTCTGGCAGTTCCTTGTTGATATACTGCTGCAACCATTTTGAATTACCTTCAGCAAAATTTTACTTGCATGTGATATTAATGATATTATTCAATAATTTCCACATTCTTTTGGATAACCTCTCTTTGGAATGGGCACAAATATGGATCTCCTTCAGTCAGTTGGCCAGGTAGCTGTCTTCCAAATCTTGACACAGACAAGTGCACTTCCAGCATTGTATCCCTTTGTTGAAACATCTCAATTGGTATTCCATCAATTCTTAGAGCTTTGCGTTTCGCCAACGCCTTCAGAGCAGATTGATCTTCTTCCTTCAGTACCATTGGTTCTTGATCATATGCTACCTCCTGAAATGGTTCAACATCGACAAATTCTTTTTTGTACAGTTACTCTGTGTATTCCTTCTATCTTCTTTTGATGCTTCCTGCATAGTTCAGTATTTTGGCCATAGATCATTCAACTCTAGGCTTGAATTTTTTCTTCAGTTCTTTCAGCTTGAGAAATGCCAAGCGTGTTCTTCCCTTTTGGTTTTCTAACTCCAGGTCTTTGTACATTTCATTCTAATACTTTACGTTGTCTTCTTGAGCCGCCCTTTGAAATGTTCTATTCAGCTCTCTTACTACATCATTTCTTCCTTTTGCTTTAGCTATTCTATGTTCGAAGAACAAGTTTCAGAGTCTCTTCTGACATCCATTTTGGTCTTTTCTTTCTTTCCTGTTGTTTTAATGACCTTTTGCTTTCTTCA